AGACACATTCGCTCACATTGTGCTTTAGTTAATCTATTTTCTCACTGGTTACTTCCTTCAAAAGCTTCAATTTCATTCAATTTGCCTTTAGTCCAGATCAGGCACGCAACCATCCCAAGCTAGAGCTCGCTGATCGGCAGCGAACATGTTCAGTAGCGAACCGTTCGGTGACCGAACATGTTCGCTTACGAACGGTTTGGTGATCGAACATGTTCGGTTGCGAACCGTTCGGTCACCGGACTATCGGTTTGGTGCATACCTAATATTGAGCATGGTGAATCAGAAAACCACTATGGGCGATCTCTAAGAGTAATACTATTAGTCGAAATTCGTTACAAGACTCGAGGTTTTCTGGTGCATAGTACCGTACATGCTGAGAAATATAGATAAAATATTTGTGGTTAGATATGACTAAGGACATAGATCTTCAACGTGCTGGTTTTAGGCAAGGTCCGACAGACGTCGGTTATGAAATATTCCGAATGTCAAACCATAGCTGAAATTTTGAAAAATCTATGCAGAAAAAGTTATTTATATGAAGCCTTACTCGAACGAAATGAATAGAGAATAATTCTTGCAAAAATCTTGTAAGAATCTGATAAAGGATTTTTATTAGTTTCTAATGAAATTCTTATAAGACTCTTGCTCGATTCTTATCAGATTCTTACAAAATTCGTGCAACTTTCGTGCCACTTCTTATATAAGAATCTGGTAATAATTGGATAAGATTCCTATCAGAAACGTCAAAAATGCACTTGAAATTATCTATAAATCATGTGTTTTATCAATTCTGAACTATGGTTGTATTATTTACTCCTTAACTACTGCGGCTAACTTGAATAAATTAGAAAGTGTGCAATATAAAGCAGCAATTGCAACTGTAGGTGCGATGAAAGGAACATCAAGAGAGAAAGTGTACGGAATATTAGGGTGGTTCTCTTTGAAAGATCATTTCCGAATTTTACGACTATTAACATTTTGTAAAATCATGAAAGGACTTACGCCTGGTTATTTGTCTGTGCATTTACATGTTCGTCAACCGAATGAAAGATATAATCTACGTAGTAATCGAAATACAACTATAGAAACAATGAGTAATACTTCTAAAGAATTTTTTGTAGTAGTAGCTGAAGAATGGAATAGACTAGTATTTAAAGATCCTGGAGTTTTGAGAATGAAAGTTGCTATAGTGAGAGTAATATTAAAAAATGAGCTAACTCCAACTGGAAAATTTTCTAAACGTTTAAAGTTTGCCACACGGCGAGAAGAAATAATATTTATGCGTATTAAGTGTGAATTACACCTTTAAATCATTATCTATACAAACGGAAATGTGTCGAGTTACCTTGGTGCAGTTGTGGGAGTGAGAGGGAGGATATTGTACATTATTTTTTCAATTGTACACTGTACCATATTCAGAGAAATCTATTAGAACAGAAACTGAATTTTTTAAATGGAATTACACTAGATACCCTTCTACTAAATAAATTACAGTTGGATGAGGACACGCAGTGTACTATTTTGGATGCGGTTAACTGCTATATAAGTGGAACGAAGAGATTTGAAAACTAGCTGCACTTTATTTTATGATATTATCGCTTTTCGGAGTGTCAGTCACCACCACTTCGTCCGACCCGGCTCATTGTCACCTAAAATCTTCATTTTTCTCCTACTTTCTTTTTGCTGTTGTTCATTATACTATCCATCTGTATTTTATTTTACTCTTCTATACTATAGTATTCAGAGCTAGGCCTATAATGATTCTATCGCAGGCCTTATTTGAAAAGAATCAATAAAGATATAAACAAAAAAAAAAAACTGCTCATCACTTTCTTCGATAGATAAATATTTTTGACGTTTCTGATAGGAATCTTATCCAATTATTACCAGATTCTTATATAAGAAGTGGCACGAAAGTTGCACGAATTTTGTAAGAATCTGATAAGAATCGAGCAAGAGTCTTATAAGAATTTCATTAGAAACTAATAAAAATCCTTTATCAGATTCTTACAAGATTTTTGCAAGAATTATTCTCTATTCATTTCGTTCGAGTAAGACTTCATATAAATAACTTTTTCTGCATAGATTTTCGTTAAGCCAAAGAATTTTAATGACGCAGTCTCATATGTAGAATCCACTATCATAAACTTAAAATTTCGGTACACTAAATTATTTGCTATCATGATACACACGATTTCCATAAAATCGAAATACTATGCACCACTTATAACAGAAGTTCGAAGTAGAAAAAGGTGTTATGACAGGAATATAAAGCCGCAATGTTTATATGTATTTAAATGTGTCCGCAGTATCTCAATAAGAGAATCCATGGATTATCATGAACAGCTCACTATGTTTGAACCCTGAACCGACCGGTTCTTTTAAAAACTCTTTTTGTGCATTATTGTTTAAAACTCAACAAAATTGCTGAGGGAACCATCCCGAGTGGTCAGAAAACATTTTGCCGTAAGAATTTCATAAGAACTCGATAAGAAACTAATAAGAACTCTTATCACTTTCTTTATGAAATCCTTAGAAGATTGTTACTCGGTTCTTGTCTAATTCTTACGAAGTTCGTGCCACTTCTTATTTAAGAGTCTGGCAAGGATCGTATAAGATTCTTAGCAAAATCAGATAAGAAGTTCGCAAGATCCTTACCAGATCCGTCTCCAATTCTTATATTAGAATTGATGTCTATGGCTTATCTTTTCGTTCTCTCACATTGATCCCTTTTTACCTTTTGCAAAACCTATAATGGATAAATACCTGACTGACGATGCTTTCTATTTAAATAAAACTGATTAAATCAATTTCCACAAAACCACAAGTTCAAGTATGTCCAGGTTTAATAGCAGAACCCAAAACGTGTTACTCATCACAGCCAATAATGAGAAATGTCACATTTTCTAAAAGAAATTCTAATGAAATTTTATGATCTAGCTCGCTTAATGATGATTTATTTGAACTATGAAAATAAATCACTTTAATAATCCAAGTTCTCGAAAAGGTAGGATGTTCTCCCAACATTGGAGATTGATAAATGCACGTTTTGCTCTCAAGTAAAATTCCAGGTTCGATGCCATAAGCGTCACGAGCGAAATAAAACTGTATTTTGAACTTTTAAATTTTTCGCGTATTCAGTTGTTCGGCGCCATTTGTTCTTAAGACGAAAAATACTTCTCTCTCTGTTCTTCAAATTTTGTTTTCATGTCCCCTAGTCGTCAATTCTTGGTTGTGAATATTTTTTATAGAGTATGTCACGTCGTTTTAACATTGCTCTTAGTTCACTGTTGAACCAGGGTGCATCTTGTGATGAAACTATCACAAGTTGATTTGATATAATTTTAACTGCTATTTTTAAAAAATTTTCTGACGAGGCTGAGATCTTTGCCGAAACATCCACCTGTTGATTTAATAAGTTCGTCCAGTCATAAGAAGATTAAGTTCTTGCCTAAAACTATTCCAGTCGGTATTTTTCTTTGATATCTGAAAGAAGCAGAGTCAAAACTTCCGATTGAAAATTGTATTATACAATGATCGCAAAATGTAGATAGTTGTTGTATAATCTATAAATTTGTTACTAAAGGAAAATTTGTGGTAAAAACTAAGTCCAAGCATGTCTGAGATATTGGTCTTGTCATTTTTGAGACTAATTGATAAAGTCCTTCATTAGCTAAAAATTGAAACAATTTAGCACTTTCAGCTGTCATCAGTACAGTCGGACACCATTATTTTGTTTCTATAACTTGAGATTATTTCCGTTTTGAAAATCCCAGATTTCACCAGGAAAAAGTGGAATCGGCATACGTATGCATCTTAGTTTTCTCTAGGGAAAACTCGAATTCTAGTTTTATCTAGAGAAATCTAGAAGTTTACTGCAGAAATGTGCACGCCAATGCATCCCAGTTTTCGCTGGGAAGAGCTCGGATTCCAGTTCCCTTACTCAAATCTAGAATTTCACCAAATTCCAGTTTACCCTACAACATATATTTTTCCACATGGATGTGTGATGATATAGAGAGAGAATAAGAAATGAATAAATCGAAAGACATTATCAATCCGTGTATAACGATTGAACCATTTAATTATAAGATATTTCGATAACTACTTGGCATAATTGTAATGTATAGGTACAATAGGCGTGTTAGAGGAGAAATTAATCTCCGTAACGGCTCAACCAAAAAGAACGGTCTTCCAGCGTGAGTATTTAAATTTTAATTCAAGTTTGCATTTTAAATTTGAACTATTTTTAAATTTGAAATACTGGGATCAGAAAGGCGCTGGAATATTTTCAATATACCATTTGAAAGAGCGTGAAAAACTGAACAAGATACCGCAATTGGCAAGCTTTGAAAAGGATTTCAAGTGGATCTCTTGGACGCTTTTCGAAAACTCTGCGTATCTTCTTTTGTTTGATCTTATTCTGGTTGATATTTTGTTATCTTCCGTATAAATATGTTCTAAGCTAGTATTTGTTCAACCATTTAACCGTGTTTTCAATACAAAAAAACTTAAGTTTGTCTTTTTTTTGAAAAACGTTTTTACATTTTGTATGAAGATGATTTTCATCGATTTGTTATCCTCGACTAAAACATGAAAATTTTGAAATAAAAAAATGTAGTAGACGAAGATATTAAAAGTAGTCATACCAATAGTTGAACGACCTTGTTTGTGATAACTGATGATATTGTTGAACTAATTGATTTTGCTGTTGACATAATTGAGCTAAGTGACGGAAAACTTGATCTAGTCGTTCATTTATACTATGGAACACTTCCATTATCTCATCTAATTCTTTACCTATAACTTTTAACGTTTTAGCTAACTGATTGGCCACTAGACGATTCTGTTTATGATACCAATGACTTTGGTTTTGGATTAGATGACCTTGATGACGAATAAATAGACCTTGTTTGCGAATTAATTGTCCTTGTTTATAAATTAATTGTCGCTGTTCTAAAAGTAACTGATTTAGTTGTTGATTCAGATGTGCAATCTGTCGAAATAATCCTTGCATAATTCTTTTACTTTTCGTGGTTAGATTAATTTGTTTCATTTGACAAATATACTCAGAGATTGTCAATTCCTAGATATGAAAAGCATCACAATAAGAAGAGGTACTCTATTTCTTCCACATTATATCACGGAGTGCAGTAAAAGATTTATAAACAGAAATAACTTTGGTTTTTGAAAAATTTCAACAACGTAGCAGTCAATAATGGCGTGATGCGCATACAAAACGTATTTCAGCTTCACAAGTCGGCCCTATTTTGAATCGTATTCGCGTACCTACTGATTCTTTCCTACGAAGTTTATTTAACTCTTTCAATGATTCGCAAAAATCTTCCGTTCCTCGTTCAATACAACATGGTATCGATAATGAATCTAAAGCACTGAACGAATATAAAAAGGCCATGCTTTCAAACGGTTTTGATGTTCAGATTTTTACGTCTGGCTTCGTCACACAACCGGGCTATTTTTGGTTGGGTGCAACGCCTGATGCCAAAGTTCGCTGCTGCACAAAAGACAATATCACTTTTGAAAATAATTATGGCAGATAGTAGACATCAGCCCACTGGTAACGAGACCCAAAAGCACTCAAAAGAAAACAAAATGTTCATCTTAAATCAACCTTATATTCTCACGGCATTTCTAATGGTAGACACCGCCTTACATCTTATAAGGGCCATCACATTATCACATACGATAATTGTACATACGCAAACGGGTCTTTTTCTACAATATCGTGGTCCATATACTCCATCTGACAGAGTAATTCATAATTCGGTTAGCTTTCCAATGACAGCAGCAACATGTTGAGGCATAGAAAAATAAGATCAAAGTTGCTTTATTAGAAGCAGGGCCGAAACTTGGCATCCTTGAAAAGGCATATAGACTGTGACTTTTTTAGTGAACAAATATGGATTTCTATGTAACTTTTTATGCTCTACACGGGAAGAGTCTTCAATTTTTTCCGGCTCTTGGGTCATGTATAAACTGGGCGGACCTAAATGGAAGTACCCTTTAGTTATAAATTTATACATGATTATTTTCCAATGAAAGTTTTACTGAAAAGGATAGTTTTCTGAGTATGGTGAGTTTCGGGTTCAGACCTCTTGTTGGATCTATAAATTCAGAATAATGACATGAATCTAAAACCACAATATTTTATCCCATAGAGGCGAGTATAATAAACAACTTTCCATGAACAGAATCCTTTTGGAATTGTGAAGACGTGTTGGACAAGAATTACATTTCCTGAGAAAATCGACTTTTGGTAAACTCCACTAAAGCTCATTCAAACTCGCGAGTTAGTGCAACCACAGATCCTTGGGAACGTTCTCTACAAACTGACAAAATTGGAGCGTATGTTAGATAGGGGATGATTAATCGCTAATTAATCATCCGTATGAAGACTTGAGTGCAATTTTTCAAAAAAAAGATATTTGTTGCTAACCTAAAAGATGACGATATGTATCAGAGAAGTTAACTATATATACTCTTTCTCTATCGCTAATGTTCTAACAAATAATTGAATATTAACAAAAAACAACAAGTTAACATCTACAAACAAAAGAATATATTTCATTAATGTAATTCTAATATTGATTCTCCATTTTCATCTGATTTCCATATTACCAATTTATTTTCCAACATTCTTAACCAAACATCATTTTTAAATTTATATTCCACTTTTTTCATATCGTATCCTTTTCGATCGAGTAAATAAAAATAATATTCATCATTATCACAATCAACTACTAACCATTGTTGATCATTTTTAAAGGCTAATTCAAAACAAATTTTAAATTCTTTACTAATTTGTTTCAATAATTTCATTGTTTTCATTTCTCTCAATTGAATTAAATGTTCACCGACCATATCTTCATTTAAAACATTCATAATTATCAATTCACAATCACGTGTTAATTTTATACGATAAATCCAATAATCGCTAAAATCTTCTTCACGTGTATATCGTTTTAATAATTTTAATTTTGGTTCTGTTACCTATATAAAATAAAAAAAAATAATAATTTTCTTTTAAAATTAAACTAAAATTCTATTTTAAGATAGAAGTAAATAGGTAAAGTTTAGAATATAATTAACTACCTGTGATTGTTGTTGTTTTTCAATGGACCAATGTTGAATATATTCTCCATCATAATGACTAATAAACAAATGTTTTTGACCACTTGTCATCCACGATAATTGTTCACCATTTATACTTTTAATTTGTTTAATTTTAATTAGATTCATTGTCAATGGTGATAATGAAAATAAATCGGTATTTGTTAATATAAAAAATTTTGACATTAATTCATTCCATTGAATATCTTTTATTTGTTCACCATTCCATTTTAATTCATTTATTTGTTTATCTTTATCAAAAACACGTAATTTTTGAACATCATTAACCAAAATAAATTCATTAGAACAATCAAATATACCACTAAACTTTTTATCACCTATTGTATCAAGTTCAAATTTTTGACTAACTGGTGAATGAAACATTTTTTCAATTTCATCCAATCTAAATATTTTCGTTACATCCAGACTACCATTTCTAAGAAGAAGAAGAAAAAAACAAAAATAGAGTAACAAGTAGAAGAATTTTGTTTTAAAAAATAAGTTAAAATATTAATTCCTATTCTTCTAATGAAAAATTCCTACTTTATAGACTCTTTTGCAGTTGGTTTTTTAATATTAATCGAATTATTCTCATATTCAATGGTAAACAATGTTGATTTTTTTAAATATTTAATTTTTTCACTTAAATCTTCTAATGAGGTTTTTAATTGTTGAACAGCTTCAAAATGTAAATTATTTTTCGTTGATAAATGTTCAATTTGTGTTAGTATAGTTGTCTTTATTTCTGCTATATAATCTATTTTTGATTTTTCTAATTTTTTACATAATTCTCTATATTCTCGATCAAAATCACTTTTTTTCGTGGCATATTTTAGTTTAATTTCTTCTATTTCTTTATCTTGCCAATAATCAATAAGTTGATGCATTTCATCGCGATTTGTTTGCATTTTCAATTGTTCTAGATCATCTTTTTCTTGTTGAGCACAAAATTTTAAATTTTGAAATTGCTCATGAACACTTAAATGATCTGGACAAAGTAAGAGATTACAATGAGAACATAGAGTTGAGTTATCATTGGAACATTTGACATCGCTTAAACTGTCAACATAAGAGCATGGTACTGGTGGACGATGACGCTTTGGTGTTGGTGGAGGAGAACTATTTGAAGATGAAGGTGAATTGGATGCTGAAGATGAAGAATCCGCTCGCTAGAAAAGATAATCACATTTGATTTGAAAATCAGATGTATTCGAAAGAATAAAACAACGATGATTAAGCTCAAAAATCTGTTATATTTTATTCACATGGTTATTGTACAACATCTATGTTGCAATCCTCAAACTAGTCACTTTATGTAAAAGATGTGACTCTGTTATAGAGAAGACTTACCGAGGTTCTCATTAGTTAGTGGTCTGTTCGCTGTTGTGTGATTCTATGATGGAACTTAACGCAAACTTTTTCTTGTTACACTACAGTATAACTATATAAATAGTTCATAATGAGCATGTATTCATGTCAACTAGTCACTAGAGTTTGTAACTTTCAGTCTTTTATTTATTTGAACTCAGTTGTTTTTTTTTCGTTTACTTGTCTTCCCGTAAGAGAAATAAAAATTAAACTTTTAAAATGAAGAAAAGAAATGTGTACACTACAGATTTATGCTGTGTTAGTTATGTACAGAGGAAAGAAGAACAGTTCATACATACAATCACCTTATCCGTCTGCCGTATACTGAATATGAAATAAAGACGAGAAAAAGAGTCATTTTAAGAGATGATAGTCGCAAATAGATGATTTTTAGAGAGAAGATATCAAAGTTCTCACCTTTATCAAGTATCTGAAGAGTGAAAAATTCGTTTTAAGAAATGCCGACAAAAAATGGAAAGCATTTTTTTCGTTATAAATTCTTTGTTGAAGATAATTATCAGTGGATAAAAAGATTTCTCATAGCCCCCTGGCTCAGATTTTTATAAAATAGTAGGAAAAAGAATTAGCAAATTAAAAACACCAAATACTTTAAAGAGAAGTTTTTGTTGAATCATGATGTGATTCTCCTTACTAAAAAATAGCGTACCTTCAATGTTGTTTTAAAATCGGCGATTATCGCGCTTTTCTGAAAAGTCGCCGTTTTATCGCAATAAGTTGGCGACTGTTTTGTATATCGATGTTAATTATTTTAACCCTTAATTTTTTTTAATTAGTTTAACAAAACGTTAATTATTTTGCAAGTCGCAATTTCCCAAAACATCGCTGACTAATCGCCATTAGTTGCCGATCTGGAGTTTTGCCTAGTCATTCACTGTTTTATTAGTAAACACGAATTTTGACAGCAATTGTCTTTTAGATTAATGTTTTTGGAGGACGCGCCTAGAATGTTCTACGTGATCTCGTCAGAGCTGACTCGTTGTTTCAATAGGGTCTCAGCTTTTGAATCAAGGGATCCGATGAACAACTGGAGTTCTGGACAGTGCCTCAAATCAATTAATCGGATGAAGAGGGTCCAAGTAGTCGACACTATCATAAGAAATTCATTAAAGTGCAAAACAATGAAAAAAGGCAAAAAAGAAGTTTCTCATAGGCGGATTCGATCCTAGCATCTCCTTTCTGTAAAAAAAAATTGTCCGATTAGTCGCAGCTAATCGCCAAAAGTTACTAAAAAGTCGCGAAAAGAATTCTAGGAATTCTATGCGGTGACATTCTTCTAAAACCTTCTAAAACAGTTTAGAAGTATTAAAAACTTTTTCAGGCTTTTTGGTTATTTACCAATAATCTTATCTAAACAAATTAATTATTGTTAAGATGGTTAATGCATTGATAAGAATCAATATTCATTACACTTTACATTTATGCAAGTATCAAGAGTGGATATGTGTAAAGGCCAACCAAACGTCCGAAACAAAAAAAGTAATTTTTTTTTTGTAACAATCTGAATATGCATCTGTAGAAAAGACACACCTTAATTGTTGTTTTTTATGAAAACATTTGGCTGTTGAGATAGTTTTGTAACACTATGACATCTCTTAGCTTGTTTTTGTCTTCGATACCACTTCACAAAAAATCAAGTTTTTCAACCTATAGAAACGTTTACATTTAATAAACTTGGTTCTCGGAAAACCTCATATAACAAATATTGATGAGACTAGGTGACCATTCTTATCTTACAGAACATCACCACTCTGTAAAAGAAGTACTAGTGAGACGATCTCCTCCAGTCCTAGACGCGATCAGTGGATTATAGATATAAGTATTCATGAGGGGGAAAATTACCTCTTCTGTTCTAGACCTAATCAGTGCTCTGTATAACAGTGGTTAGAAAAAACAATCACATTTGATTTGAAAATCAGATGTACTCGGAAGAATAAAACAATCATGATTATCATTGAATATAATAAGTCTTACTTGGACTTCAAACAGACTTGAGAAAACCCCCAGGGTTCAAGTCAAGTCCAAGTCTCTCGGTAGATGTTTGAAAATTTGGGCTTGAATTTGCCCATCTCTGCTAATAGTGCGAAGAAATAATGAAGTCCCTGGTGACTCACTAGTAACTCTCTAGGGATTTCTTAGGAAAAATGTATAACGTATTCATCGTTTTGTTTTGCGTCTGCAGAAGTATATAAATCATGAAAATTTAAACAGGAACATCTCTTTTTTTTAAAATTATTTTCTTTCTTTTTGCGTAGCTGCTTCTGCCCGAGACTCGTCTGCGTTAACTCGTGATAATTAGATGTGAGTTAACTTTTCAGCCAAGTGACTCATTCACTGGGTGGCTCAGATAAGAAAGAATTTTGGAAAGAAAGTGATATTTTTTCTTATATAAAATAAAGGTCAATTTGATAAAAAATCGATAAAAAAGCTAAATTACGCTGAAAATTGAGCACAGGAGTCGAATTCAGCATTTATTTGTTTGGGGGAACTCTCTAAGAAATTCCCTGGGGAATCTGTTAGGTGATCCCTTGTGGCTTTTTGTCAGGAAAAGTGCACTAGGGGAACAATAAAGAAACGAAAAGTTTCTAGTAAAGGAGGACGCGTAGATAATAAATCAAATGAGAAGAAAATCAGAAAAATGAAAGAAAGAAAATGGTACATGCTTTGTTTACAAGGGAGCCGCCCGAGGTGATACGCTCCGTTTCTAATGAGTTATACTTCAATCGATAGAGTATATCGAGCTAGTAAAAACCCTAAAAGGATTCGGGTTCATGTCTTTTGAAGACTCTTTCGAAACTCTAAAAAATAACTAGAATCTTCCATAATGAGGTATGATTGTAGTGCGCACATTTCTGATCAACATGAGACATCTACCAGCTCTACACGACCTTACATTCATCGCTCAAAGCTACAGAAATAAGAAGAAATTAATTTAGAGCTTTTCGTGTAAATTCTATAACTTTGCAAAAAAAGGTCGAGAAGAACTGGTAGATGTCTCATGTTGATC